TAACTTTTACTTTTTAGTAACTTTTCTTTTTGCAGTAATTTCAACTTCATTTCTCATTATAGCAATGAGGAAAAGCCCTTTGTTCTGTTGTACAAACAAACGTATTATTATTATTATTATTATTATTATTATTATTATTATTATTATTATTATTAATCGTGTGGAAGCAAGTCTTTGGACTTCCAACCAAACGATCATTAAATATAGAAAGATAATGATCACATTCTGTTGTGCTTTTTCTTTAATTAAACATATCTTCATCAAATCTTTAAACATAAAACGTAAAACAAGGAAGGAAAAGCAAAGAACAAAAACAAAAAAGAACATTGCTTGTGTTTTTCAACAAGATTTATCTCTCTACACTCCCCCTCTCCCCCCCCCCACCACTCATACAGGAGTAAAAATGGGTGAAGCGTGAATAATTTAAAAGAAATTGGGTCATGGTGAATTAGTTGATTGACTAGGAATATACTCTCAAGGCAAAGAGGTTGCATTTGTGTTGATTCTGCATCAAATGACAATATAAATTAATAAAATTGCCTTAAGGAATTCTTTCTGAAACTGATGGGCACTATTCAAAACATGAAAATTGATTAAAAATGAATTATTAATTTAATTACATTAGGATGCCTATCAATTTTATGCGCTCTATATACTGTTATTATGCACATCATAAAAGCATGCAACTGTCTTTACAAATGAGATATTTTTTATTATTGCAAAAAATGTAGGTCAATACACAAAAGCTGGATATTCCAACTCCGCTTTCTGCGAGTGCTGAGTGGCACAACACTTTCTGCTGATTGCCGGTGGCAGTCTGAACTGACCCTCATTATAAATGATCTGTTGCACGTGCGTCGTGGCGTTGCATTCTCCATAAAATGGAGTTGGCTAACGACCATCGGGGAGCAGTGGGTGCCCGGCCTAATAGACCAATGAATATTTCTGCTAGAATTGTTCTTAATGGACAAAACAGAATTTTTTAAATTTTAAATGTCACTTAAATTTTTTTTGTTAACCCATTATCCCCCATTTAAGTACTCCTCTTAAGTGTATGCCAAAAGATTTAGCGAGTTTAGACGAGGAAAAATGTTTGCGTACGTTTTTACACTTTCGTTTTCTAGGACTTTAGCAAGAACATCTAAAGGGCAGGGCTTAGTGGAAATGGCCATTGGGTCATCAATGTTTCTATTCATTTCAACGTGCTCTCGGTGGTACCACCATTGAGGTGTACAAGTTCCCCTAGAGAGTTCCACACCCACCTGTGGAACCCTCATGGTTAGATTGGTTAGATGGGGTCTTTTAACCCAGAGACCCCTGCGGGCGTTTCAACTGCGTTTTCCTGTATAGTTCTATACATTAATGAGTCACTCTCATTTGTCCATGGAAAATTCATTTTCAATTCTTTAGCAAACGGGATGCATTCACGGTTGGTTGTACAGTCAGCCATGTTTCTCTGCGAATGACTGTTGTTTTGTGGGACCTTAGCAACAGTATCCAAGAGACAGGGCTTAGTGAACAACCAATTGAAAGTTCTTGTATCCATTATAATCATTTTTCTGTCACAAGTATACAAGGTTTCATATATTTATATTTTATGATGATCAAAACATGGTATGGAGAATATATGTTAATTAGCATTCATTTTGTATACTTATTATGAAGTACAGTAGAAACCCTATTATTAGGGGACACCTCCAGGACCAAAAAAAGTGCCCCCTTAATAGGTGTTCCTCCTGAATAGGAGTTGGCCGTAGTTTCTCCTTAATTAGGGGTGTCCCCTTAAAAAGGGTGTCCAAAATGAGGGGTTCTACGGCATATTGCATAAAACGTCTTTATTGAGGATTCAAGGAATATACTAGTCTGCTAGGTCTCGGTACAAAAATAGCAATCGGATGATCTAATGCCCTGTTTTATTCGATAAAAACATGTGATGTGCCTAAATATCACATCACATCATGACGATATATAGGAAAGTCATGACTATATATGGGCTTACAACAGTTTTTTTGTCTTAATTAAATTTGATAATAGGCTCAAATCTCTATAATTGGAGGAATTAGATTTCTGCATTTTTAGTTATCAATTCAATAATCTCTTTAAGATTTTTTGTTTGCTTGTTATTTGACCTCTTTTTAGACAGGTTTTAATATCCACTGTACTGTATGTATTGTACTCTGTGTTGGCAAAACTGTGCAGTGGTTTTGGTCATCTTTGTTAGGCTTGGTTTTGCGTCCTCCTTAGTTTGAGCATTATTTTTTTTTTATATATAAAGTACTAATGTTGTAAGCCAAAGTATATGTAGCAAATACAAGCTAGACCAGCCAAAACAGGTAGAATGTCAAAGTTTTTGAAATCTATTTTATTGCACTAAACTAATCTTTATATCATGCCACAGTATGTTCTTATTTTCACCATTTTTTTTAACAATTCCTTCACTGTCTCTGACTGAGAAATGTCCGAAATCGTAAACTTTGAAGGCTGATTTCTCAAATACTTTTTTTTAAACAGCTGTATGTTTAAATGTCTGTAACTTCATAACGAAATGTTGGATCTAAATGATTCTTTTAATATTTTATAACTTTCATTTTACTGTTTAAAAATCTTTTTTTTTTTATAACTTTCATTTTACTGTTTAAAAAATCTTTTTTTTTTTTTTTTTAGGAGTGACCACTTTGTCTTGTCTTTGCCACATATTGCATTATGTATCTTTATTATGATTATAAATAGTTATTATATAAACACTGATGATTTAATTGGATTTTACATTGCTAGGTTCAACCAAGTGGATCTTTCTGTTGCTGTTCAGACTGACAATGGACTAATTACACCAATTATCTTCAACGCCAATTCAAAGGTAAAACTGTCTCCAGAAATTAATAGATTCTCTGACCTCACATGGTAATGTAGGTCAAATGTACTTTTGCAATTTTTATTTCTTCTCACAGAAATTAAACAATCTTCTGGAAGCTGTCAAAAATGGAATTTGATCCCAAGCGATTTGTTTACGTTTCCTGTGTTTGTCTAGAGACGCCAATGATATATGTGGCCACCTATTGGCTTCATCCCACTATCTTTTCATACTATTCACGTTTTTATTTACTGCTTGCTCTACATGGAAATGACATCTTATGCACGTTCACAAATTAATGTTGTGTTATGCATGTACCTGCATCACCAATGACATTTTACTTGCATGCTTAGTATGCAATTCTTATTAATTTTAACTAATGTACCTTCATCTTTGAACCAGTATAGTGAACAACTCACAGTTCATTGTGTATGTTTTCTTTGTAAGACATCTTATAGTTTGAAGTGTACATGCATATGTCAGAGGTCAGTATTTATAAACAATAGCTTACACTCTCTGTCTGCATTTCATCAAGCATTAAGAACAGTATACTTAAAAGAAAAATAATGCCTAAAAAAATGTTGTTTCAACTCAATCATTGTTTCATTTTCTTAGTCAATAGTAGGTCCAAAAGTTTGTGACGATTTAACATCAAGACGCGTGCGTAGATCTGGAAGAAATATATCGTAGCACCATTCATTTAAGTGTCTAATTACCATTATTGGCTTTTTTTGAGTTCCTATTTATGTTCATAAAATGTTGTAAAAAATATTGGACTAGGACTTGTCATGCTACAAGAGACACATGTGAGAATTCAACATTCAAATTACTTTAGTATAGTACGGTAGAAGGAGCATAATAATTAGTATACCTTCTTTCTTTCTGCTCCCCCTCCTGCAAAAACCTGGACCTACCTCTGTACCTCACAGCTTCGCAAAAGGCCACTAAAGGCGGCCTTTTCGTGAGTCAAGTGTAATTCCATGAGGGAGTCAAAGCATCATTTTCTTAAGTGTTACTTTATTATTTTTAAACTTTATTCGTAATTGTCTCTTTCTGATGCTCATGGTGTAGTTTTTTTACTCTGACATTGTTTAACCTCAGTTTTTATATGTTCAGTAGATTACAATTAAATATTTATTGTGTTGAGATTTAGCAGCTGAAAACCCGTAACCAATTTTCCAAAACTGTTTAATTTATAAAACTAATATCTGCTCAACCAAAAAACTGTACAATTTGCCAAGTGGATATTTTGTTTAATTAAGAATATACAGTCACGTAAATGTAATAAACATGAACATTTTATAAATTTAATTGAATTGGTTGCTCTCTGCATTTCAATTAGCTATGTATAGCTTTCAACTGAAAATTACGTGAAGAAATTTATCTTGCTAATTAAAAGGCGTTTAAATAATATTACCTTCTGTAGTGTTTGCATATATCATTACGTTTCTGCCAGAAAATTAAAGGTTTTCATAGTAAGGCAAGACCTTGTGTCTAGCAAACCCTCCAGATTTTTTGTTCAATCATCACAACACTCTTTACATTCATCTATAAAATTTTATTTTAATTCATCAGTAAAATTTTATTTTTATTTTCTCTGCCAGATGCTATTGGTAAAATCGTTTCGCTAAATAAGAAAAAAAAAATATTTTTATTTATTTTTTCCATGTGATTTCAATTTTTATTTTTATTTTTGAGATGTAATTTATCTATTATTAAATAGTCTCTTTTTGTTAAACCATATGATAAATTGTGCTTGCCATTTTATGGTTGCTACTCCGGCAAGCCTTGATCATTCCAATGTTACGCTAAGTTGCACTGACTTTTTGTCAGTACTTTGGCAAATAGCGCCATCTCTTGTTATTGTCAACTGGGATACAGTAATTTGAGGCTTTGTAATACCCTTTCTTATTTTAATAATCTACTATACCATATATTCAATTTAAATGTCAATTTTATTCAATTTCAATTGGCAGCATTAACACTGAATCACATGAGAGTACATTAAAAAAACATTTAAAACACAGAAATACAAAACTGTAGAATTCTAAAAAATAAAATTATTTAGGTAAAACATTTTAATTCTATTTACAAAACTAGAAAAATAATTAAATTCACTAGATTAAACATTCGAATTCTATTTACATGATAAAATGTCAAAATGTTGCAAGTTATAACAATTAGATTATCATTTATATAAAAATGCACATTATATACCAGGGAATGCTGGTTGAATTGCATTTAATTTAGAGCAGTTGATTTCGTCCCAAGTATTCTTTAATAATTGTTCTTATTTTACAGTCATGGCAATAAAATAAAACTGATTAGTTTCTAAAAATATTAGTTATAGTAGTGGTCATAATTTTTTTTTATTAGATTGGTAAACTTATTTCTAGCTACTTGCTTGATTATTTTAGTGTCATTTGAAGCTTAGAGCTGAGCATGACCAATAACACGCAACGACTAATATCTCTGTAACGGCCAGTTGAGCATCTGAAAAAGAAAATAATGATGTATATTGGTTTTGACAAATATCCAGCCAGTTTTATTCAGTCCTTCTATCAATCAACAAGGATTTATATAGTGCCAATATCCACAGCAGAATGTAACGTTCAGTGGCGCTATGACAATCATGTTCTCTGTTTTAGTCTTTAAAAAATTGCAGCACATGCAATGTGCTGTAGTCCTTATATACACTACTTATGCTATGATTAACCTTTCAGTCTCTTTAAATCTGAAGTCTAATCTGGTACGCGACTAGCACAACGTCTAATTGGCCGGAAAATACTTAGGCAATGGTTACCATTACTTTTGATGTTACTTATTTTGTTGTATCGCTGAATAAACTGACTGTATCTTTGCTTAGTTAATCTCTCCATTCGGCTCTCAATAGCCTATTTTAATCCATTAGATATCATCGGAAGAATGTATCAAAAGAATTTTAATTCGGAATACTAAGGTTACGGTATGACTAATTTAGGGATTTTAAAGGTCTTGCGTCTTTACGTGGGTTCCCCAAAAACTTATAATGACGTGGTTAAAGTATTGAAAGCAATTCCGATTAAAATCAACTCAGGAGTGCTTAAAATGCCAATCTAAAAATAGAATTCTGCAACATGTAAACTGCAGCTATCAAAATCCTAACAATATCAGGAATGTACTGGCTTTGATTTTCTGTTCGCATCTTTTCGATGCATCACATCTTCTGTATTGTATCTTTTTGTATTTTAATTGTACATTTTATTTTATGTGTTTCCTGTGTACATTCTTTTAATATGATACTTTTGAAACATAGATTGAGAATTCCCCTTCTCCCTTCCTCCTCCATTGTTTTTTTTTTTTTTTGTTTGGTTGATGATTTTTAAGACTATCAAATTTGATTGGTCAAAAACATGTAGTATGCCTAAATAAGGTCATGATGACATCACATCATGACCATATATAGGCATAGTTTAATGATTTTGTGGCAAAATGAAGAAAAAACTACCAAAAATGTAACTAAAGTATTTGAAATACTTATTTAAAGCCTTTGTCCAGACTATAAAATTTGATTGGTCAAAAACATGTCTCATGCCTAATAAGGTCATGATGACTTTGCAGGTACAATTAACAAGTTTGTAGAAAAACCTAGAAAGAAACTACCAAAAATTTAATGAAAGTATTGAAATTTCTCATTTAAGTCCTATATATACTACCAAATTTGATTTGACACAAACATGTGACATGACTAAATATGGTCATGATGACATCACATCATGACCATATATAACATATTATAGGCACATCATGAATATGGGCATACAACAGTTGTTTTGTCAAAGAAATGTTTTTAGTGTGTACAGCTTTAAGAGGATCCAAAATATTATCAATTTAAATTAAAACACAGATAAGACATGGAAAACAGTTAAAAAAAATTATCTTGCTTGCACTAATTTTCAAGATTCTTACAAAAAAAAAAAAAAAAAATCCATAACTTGATTACTAGTCTAGTCTACATCATGACTATATGGATATACAACAGTTGTTATCAACTTAGAATAAAACACAGATAATAGAAAAAGAATATCTTGCTCGTACTAATTTACAAGATTCTTACAAAAAAAAAAAATCCATAAATGATTACCAGTCTAATCTACGTTAAAAAAAAATTTGCAATTGGTTGTATTCATGCATTTGGTAACTAACTGACGACATAAACATTTTTTCTTTCAAATTTTCCAATGGAAAAATAATAACTTACTGTAAGAGTAAAGCAATTTAGAAAATGAATTTGATTTTTTTTTTTCAATTTTCTTTTTTTTTTTTTTTTAAATAGAGACTGACATTATTCCTGAAGATGGACCAATAAAATTTGAAATTGGATTATGATAGTTTGAATTATTTTCTTTGCGATTCATGTTTCTTACTTATTGATATAAGCCAAAGCTTTAACAGAGAGTATCATAAATACGTTTACCATGTTTTTCATATTATCACACCATATCTTTAACCATCGATTTCAATTTTTTTATACCCGTGCATTAGTAGTAGAGTACGCTTTCACATCACTTTTTTCACATTTTCGGGTTTTATTTTTCAATAAATATCCTGAATAACAGATAGAATAACATTTAGATTACCTCAGAAATGCTCGAGTTTCAGTAATTTTGCTTTGTTTGGGAAGTTTCTTTTTCATTTCTTGCAGTCTCAAGACTTACCATCATTTTGCTTGTCCCTAAATTTGTGTTTTGAAAGCCTGAGATTTGGTACATAGATACTGGACACTCTCCACGCTCTCTAGCCAAGATAGGGCTAAGATATGTGTACAGTAGTTCGACCCTATTTAGAATGCACTTTCTTCAGTTGAAAATTTGGTTACGAATAGATACAATAAACGACCAATCACAAAGCCTGAATGATTGCAACATTGACTATTATCTCTGCCAAGGAAGTTATATATTCACTACTTTCTGTTTGTCTGTCTGCTTTCTGTCTGTCTGGAAAACTAATGAATACTGTAGATCATT